GTGAGTGGCTGATGGCTGTTTGCAGGCTGGCCACAGCCCCTTCAGAGTGGGGGTCCCCGCTGGGGTGCCTGGCCAGCCTGGGTGAGGGGCTGATGGCTGTTTGCAGGCTGGCCAAGCCCCCCAGCAGGGACCCTCACCCCATGTGGGTGTGGCCATCCTGGGTGATGGGCTGATGGCTGTTTGTAGGCTTGCACAGTCCCCAGCCACCCAAGCTCCCAGTGGAGGCTGGCTGGAAGCGGGTATCTGGGATTTATTTATCTTCTATAATTGAAACTTTGTTGCCTTGAGCAGAGGCCACAGCCGGCCGGGGCAGGCGGGAAGCTTGGCTTCCTCCATCGCCAGGGCAACCAACCCTCCTGCTTGCTCCAGCTCCGTGGCTGCCCGCCGCCATGTTGGTTGGGTTAATTTGCATATAGTCGCTCTGATTGGCTGGTGGGCGTGGCTTGGAGCATAGCGAGGTGCAGTCAATATGCATGTTTCTCTTTTATTAGATTAGATACTAGAGGCCCGGTGCACAGATTCATGCACCAGTGGGGTCCATTGGCCTGGCCTGCAGGGATCAAGCCAAAACCGGTCCAGTGCATGGATTCATGTATCAGTGGGGTCCCTCTCTGGGCCTGGCTTGTGGGGATCGGGCTGAAACCAGCTCTCCGATATCCCCCGAGGGGTCCTGGATTGCGAGAGGAAGCAGGCCAGGCCAAGGGACCCCCTAGTGCATGATCGGGGCTGGGGAGGGACCGCGAGAGGGCTCCAGGGCATATCCGGCCCATCTCACCCAGTCCCAATCAGCTGGATCCCAGCAGCAATCTAACCTACTTGTTGGAGCGTCTGCCCCCCTGGTGATCAGTGCATGTCATAGTGGCTGGTCAAACGGTTGAACAAACAGTCGGACACTTACCATATTAGGCTTTTATTACATAGGATAATTGTAAAGTAATGAGATTAACTTTTATCAGCAGTCTCTAGACCAGCCTTGGGCAAACTACGGCCTGTTTGAAATAAATAAAACTAAAAAAAAAAAAGACTGTACCCTTTTATGTAATGATGTTTACTTTAGAGCGTCTGCCCCCTGGTGATCAGTGCATGTCATAGTGGCTGGTCAAACGGTTGAACAAACAGTCGGACACTTACCATTTTGGGCTTTTATTACATAGGATAATTGTAAAGTAATGAGATTAACTTTTATCAGCAGTCTCTAGACCCAAACTCATTTACTTTACAGTCATATTTTTATATTTTTAGATATTTGATATGTAGTAGATTCTTATTCAATATTTTTAAATCAAATAAAGAGACCTCACTATTCTGACCCTTCTGGTGAAGCACTGTAAATGTCACCCAGGACCAAAGAGAAAAGTTTGTGACTTCAATAGAAAATTATTTAAATATTTCTTTGTGGGGTTGAGTTAACATAACCAAAAGAATTTCTGTTCATTTATTTTCACTGAACAGCAAGGTCTTCTTCAGAGAAATGGGTGCAAGAATTGCTTATAGGGAACTGAGTTCATTGGTACCACACATGCAATTTATTTCAGAGGCTGTCTGTCTTAACCAATACTTACATACTGGTGTCCTAAGCATTTGCCCATTTGGCTCACCCCTTAACTGAGCTCTGATATCACCAGTATTGCTTCTGTTTAGCGGGCTTGCCCTCATCCATAGCACAAGTCTTTTTTTTTTTTTTTAGGGAGGGGGAAAGAGGGAGAGAGAGAACTAGAGAAACATCAGTGTGAGAGAAAAACATCAATGTGAGGCACATCAGTTGATTGCATCCCATATGCCCCAAGGGCAGAGATCAGACCTGCAACCCAGGTACCTGCCCTTGACTGGAATCAAACCCATGACCTTTCAGTCCACAGGCCGACACTCCAAACACTGAGCCAAACCGGCTAAGGCCATAGCACAGGTCTTAATTAAGTGCTCTGCATGGAAAATCAGGCAACAGTCCACCATTGAGCAACACTGGTTAAAATGCTTAGTAAATTAAGAGGAAAAACATTTTATAAATATTTTTTTATGTATCTATTGAAATACCTTGAACAGAGTTGGTGTTAAATTAAAGTTTGATGAAGAAATAAGTGGAAGATTGGGGGAAAAAAACTCTTATAGATAATACAATACCAATCTCCTGACAGCTATAGCAATGTCCTTAAGAAAGATGGTAGCTTCTTCGTTGCATTTAAAATAGTCACTTTGCAGTGATTGTTCTAAAAAAAAAAAGTAGAAAATTAAGATCTCATATTTATCTGTTCAAATCCTATTTAACCCTTTAAGATCTAGCTCAAATGTTTACTCAGCTGGAAATTATATCTTCTGTCTCTGAATTTCTGTAGTACTTTATATAAATCTATTTTGTACTTGTTATTTTCTATTCCATTCTATTCTAATTTAGGAATATATTTTATGCTCCTTGAGTCCATCTTTGCATCTCCTGGTGAAAAAGAGGATGTTTATAGCATAGGCAAGAAATTCAACAAACATTTATGAAAGATATAAATATAACAAGCCTATAATGTAGGTTTGTATAGGAATGTTTTCATATATGTTAGTATTTTGCCCAAAAACACACATTTAATTAACTGTATAACAATCTAAGTCAACTCTTATAAACTTATGATGATTTCTATTTCACAGGTAAGAAATCTAAAACTTTGAGGTCATGTCATATGTTCAAGGTCACAGAGCCCATCACTGATAGAGTCTGGATTCAAATGTAAGTGGTGTGACTACAGGGTCCATGCCCTAAAGAGCTCTATTTACTTTCAGAAAAGTAAATAGCAATTTCTGCCCTCACTTCCAGGGAACTTGAATTCTCTTAATGAAATAAGCTCTCAAACCAAGTGAAAATCAGTTACGGAGTTTGCAAGCAAGTGTGTGTTAGAGAGGGACGGGCATTGCCTGATATTTCCTTTTCTTTCTTCTAAGGCAGTGGTTCTCAACCTTCCTAATGCCGTGACCCTTTAATACAGTTCCTCATAAAATTATTTCGTTGCTACTTCATAACTGTAATTTTGCTACTGTTAGGAATCGTAATGTAAATATCTGATATGCAGGATGTATTTACATTGTTACAAATTGAACATAATTAAAGCATAGTGATTAACCACAAAAACAATATGTAATTATATGTGTTTTCCGATGGTCTTAGGCAACCCCTGTGAAAGGGTCGTTCGACCCCCAAAGGGGTCGCGACCCACAGGTTGAGAACCGCTGTTCATAGGAATGAATGAACCCAAGAGCTTGATCCCACTTGCAAAGGAGCTGGAGAGCTACTACATATTTTATAACTCACACTAAGGACAAGAGGCTCAATTAAGTTTTTCTTCCTAAGAAAAACTTTCTGAAGGTTCAAAAATTAGCAGAAAAAATATTTGTGAGTGAATGGGTATGCTGATCTAGACGACCTAGGACAAACATGAAAATACTCCTCCAAAACTTGTAAGAATTGTGAAGTTAAATTCGTTCATCTAAGAAGGATAAAAGAAACTATCCCAAACTGAGTAACATTATGATAGATATCAGTAAAGTTATCTGGAAACAATGAGATTATTAGAGTAAAGCAAGGAGATGCTTTGTTGTTTGGTGTAAATGGTTTATGAGCTGAACAAGACACCCTTCCTTGGGCTGTCGCACCTTAAGCTTATGTAACTTGATTACAGGTTTAGCTTCTTAAATGAAGAAGTATTTTAACCTGGCCCCACCCAAGGTTATTATCTGTTTCACCTCCTTAACACCCTTCTCTAATATTCCTTGCCTAATATGACAAGAGCTTCTTAAACACTCCTGTCGTATTAGGCAAGGAGATGCTTTCTTGTTTGCCTGTTAAATTTTCCAGTTTGCCATGGCACAATGTTGGAGGAAATTAACTTGTGAAGGAAAGTCACCAAGGGAAAAGGGAAAATTGAATGCACAATCTAATGCAGGTGGGCACTCCAGTTGCAGATAAATGGCAATGGCCTGGGAGTCCAGGATTTGTCACCAGCTACTGGTGAGAGTTGGGCCAAGCCACTCCAGTGGCACGACAGCACGAGGGCTGAGCGCTGGGTCCCACCCTGGCCCCTCTCTCTAACCCTAGGACTGGAGAAGGCTCTGCTCAAGCCCGGGATGCACTGAAGGTTCCTGCTGAGCTGAGCGCCCCCTCTCCGAGGACTCCCTCCCAGCGCCCGCTGGCCTCTCACCCACAATAAAGAGCTGCTCCAGCGCTGCGGTCGCGACTACGGAGCCCAGGGTGGAGGGGAAGGTGCTAAAATCCAGGGAGGGGCCGGTGGAGACGGCGACCTGCTTCAGCTTTTCGCTGAACCCCAGCTCCGGAGACCAGGAGTGTAGCGCCATCTTGCTGCTCCCGTGCCGCCCACTTGACCAGAGGCAAGGACGCCCGCCCGTTGCCACGGGCAACAAGGTCGCCCACGCAGGCGCACCAGCTGTGGCCCGCCCGGCGGCGTCTCTAGCTACATTCACAATAATTAAGCTGTACCGGAAGGAACCCCTCTGGAGCGATCCTTCTCTCCATGTGCATTTCTGTAGTGCAGCCCTCGCACCTGTCTCGTGGACCTTGGGCATCAATAAGGATCGTCTTTGAGCGCGGCTCTGTGCCAGGCACTCCTGGAGGAGCTTAATTTTCACAGTGACTTTGTGAGGCAGGTTCTTTCACACACATGTGCTAATTTTAGATGAGCCTAGCCCAAGGCCCTAGGAGGTAGTTGCACACCTGCAAGGTATTTTGTGGTTTCACAAAATGTCCATTTTGTAACTGCTCCCATGACTTATTTAGTCTTTGTCATAACGCTTCAGGGAGATTTTTATGGTTATCCCATTTTTCAGAACATCTTACTGAGGTGAGAGATGCAGTAACCTTGGGGGTAACCTCTGGCCCGGCCCTTAGGATTGGACAATGGCAGGGCAGTTTCCCACCAGGGTCTGCCAGAGCTGCCCTGTGACTGTGCAACCAGGGCAGGGAGTGGGGCTGGACAGCCAGGCACTGGGGCATGGCTGCAGAGTATGGGGTGCAGGAGCCCAGCCTGAAAAGGAGGCTATGAATTTAGCCTTCGGGCCTTGAATTCTGAATTCAGGAGTTTGGGTTTTACTGCTGCAGGCAATGCTGCTCTGAATAGGAAGTTGAGAACAAATTAAGGGGCTCCCTGCTGGCAGCTGCTTGGTAAACAGTTTATTTCTGCCTCAGGTAACATTACGGTAGAGCAGAATATCCTTGTCAATTACAGGCATTATGATTTTTTTCAAGGAACCATCTTGCAGAGTAATCAGAAATTAAACTGGGCCTGAAACAACCAAGCCATATTTGGCATAAATGTCTTACTCATTTTTGTTATTAAGTGGCATCCTAAAAAGGTAGCAGTGATCATTGTTAATGCTCACTTAGTATTTTTACAGACATTTCAAACACTCATGATCTTAAAGTAGCAATATTCTTATTTTTCTTATTTTTAATTTATTTAGTTCTTATTTTTACAAAATGTTTTAGATGATTCATCTGAAGATGATTCAGTAAAGATCACTGGTGTATTAAGCCCTCCATTTGATTTAAAAATCTTTGCCTTTGCCCAGGCAGCATGGCTCAGGGGTGGAGGGTAGACCTATGAACAAGGAGGTCACAGTTCCATTCTGGAGTACCCAGGTTGCGGGTTCCATCCCCAGTGTGGGGCCTGCAGGAGGCAGCTGATCAATGAATCTCTGTCATCTCTCTCCCTCTCCCTTCGTCTCTGAAATGAATAAAAATATATATTTAAAATTTTTTGCCTTCTTCTTTTCTTTTTGTCTAGCTAAGGGTTTGTCATTTTTTAAAAAATCAACTCAGTTTTATATATTTTTCTATTGTTTTTCTATTCCTTATTTGAATTATTTTTGTTTTAATTTTTATTATTTCCTTCCTTCTGCTAACTTGGGGTTTAGCTCATTATTCTTTTCTAGTTTCTTTAGGTGTACAGTTAGGCTGTTTATTTGATATATATATATTTTAATTTAGGCATTTATCCCTATAAACTTCCCTTAATACTACTTTTGCTATATCCTATATGTTTTGGTAATTTGTGTTTTTGTTTTCATTTGTCTTGAGGTATATCTATTTTTTTAATTTAAAAATATGTTTTTATTGATTTCAGAGAGGAAAGGAGAGGGAAAGGGAGAGATAGAAACATCAATGATGAGAGAGATTCATAGATTGGCTGCCTCCTGCAGGCCCCCCATTGGGGATCCAGCCTGCAATCTGGGCATATGCTCTGACTGAGAACCGAACTGTGACCTCCTGGTTCATGAGTCCACTGACACTCAACCACTGAGCCACACTGGCCAGGTTTGAGGTATATTTTAAATTCCCTTTTGATTTCCTCTATGACCCAATAATTGTTCAAGAGTATTATTTATTTTCCACGTATTTGTGAATTTCCCCATTTTCTTGCTTTTACTCATTTCTGGTTTCATTCCATTGTGCTAAAAAAGATACATGGTATAATGTCTATCTTTTCAAATTTGTTAGCACTTGTCTTGAGGCCTGACATGTGATCTGTCATAGAGATTGTTCTGTGTGTCCTTGAGAATGTGTATTTTTCTATTGTTTTTCTATTCCTTATTTGAATTATTTTTGTTTTAATTTTTATTATTTCCTTCCTTCTGCTAACTTGGGGTTTAGCTCATTATTCTTTTCTAGTTTCTTTAGGTGTACAGTTAGGCTGTTTATTTGATATATATATATTTTAATTTAGGCATTTATCCCTATAAACTTCCCTTAATACTACTTTTGCTATATCCTATATGTTTTGGTAATTTGTGTTTTTGTTTTCATTTGTCTTGAGGTATATCTATTTTTTTAATTTAAAAATATGTTTTTATTGATTTCAGAGAGGAAAGGAGAGGGAAAGGGAGAGATAGAAACATCAATGATGAGAGAGATTCATAGATTGGCTGCCTCCTGCAGGCCCCCCATTGGGGATCCAGCCTGCAATCTGGGCATATGCTCTGACTGAGAACCGAACTGTGACCTCCTGGTTCATGAGTCCACTGACACTCAACCACTGAGCCACACTGGCCAGGTTTGAGGTATATTTTAAATTCCCTTTTGATTTCCTCTATGACCCAATAATTGTTCAAGAGTATTATTTATTTTCCACGTATTTGTGAATTTCCCCATTTTCTTGCTTTTACTCATTTCTGGTTTCATTCCATTGTGCTCAAAAAGATACATGGTATAATGTCTATCTTTTCAAATTTGTTAGCACTTGTCTTGAGGCCTGACATGTGATCTGTCATAGAGATTGTTCTGTGTGTCCTTGAGAATGTGTATTCTTCTGTTGGGTGAAAAGTTCTGTATATGTCTTTCAGATACATTTGGTCTATAGGTTCGCTCAAGTCCATTCTTTCTTTATTGATCTTTCTGTCTGGATGTTCTATACATTATTGAAGGTGGGGTGTTGAAGTCTCTCACCAGTATTGTATTGCTTTCTCTTTCTCCTTTCAGATCTGTCAATATTTATTTTATATACTCAGGTGCTCTGATATTGGGTGCGTGTATATTTACAATTGTTGTATCTTCATGTTAAATTGACCCTTTTATCATTATGTAATGACTGTCTTTGTTTCTAAAGACAATTTTTGTCTTAAAATCAACTTCACCAAAGAGTTTCATACTTTATATTCTCACGTTGCTATTTAGTGTTCTTTCATTTCTACTTGAAACACTCCATTTAGAATAGTAGGGAGGGACCAGAGAGAGGTAATTCTAGCAGGATTATTTTAAAAGGCTGTGCCCCAGGATAAAAGCAATTAAATTTACTCATTGAAGAAAACATGGCCAGCCAAATTAATTCTGTAATATTGCATGTATTGAACTGAAGATAAATTAGAAAAAAATCATATTGAGGAGCTTGAGGATGATGCTTATACAGAGCACTAACTAGAGAAGCAGGTTGAAGTCTATAGGCAAATGACACTCCTGTCCAACTAGGCAAAGCTTGGTTATTCCCTGTCTAACCACCGCCATGTTGGCTAACACTAGGACACTAATGGTGGCTCCTTCACATCTCCCACCTGCTTCTCAACACTCAGAAGAAAGTGCTGAAGTTTGGGGTCTCGGAGATGCCCTATTCAGGGAAAATGAGGCGACTGCTAGAACTGTACAGTAGTGAAGCAAGGCCCAGCACGTGGCCTTTCTCAAGTGCATTCGGGTAAGGGAGGAGCTGCCCCACTACTTCTCAGCAGTGATTTCTAACAGTGGGAAACAAGGAGAAAGAGATCTGGGTTCCACATAAGAGGAAAAGTCTTCATGGGGGAGTAAGGGCCAGTGTGAGGCCTGGGATGGTGTTTTGGGTTGAACTGTGTCCCCCACCCCCCCCTCCCACCCCTCAAAAATATATGTTGAAGTCCCAAATCCCAGCATCTCAGAATGTGACCTTATTTGGAAAGGGGGTATTTTACCAAGGCAATTAAGTTCAAGTGAGGTCATTAGGGTGGGCCCTAATCCGATAGACTGGTGTCCTTATAAAATGGGGAAATTGGACACAGAGGGAGGAGGATGTGAAGACACATGGGGAGAAGATGGCCATGTGCCTGAAGTGATGCACCACATGTTGCTGGCAACCCCAAAAGCTGGAAGAGGTAAGGAGGAACTCTCCCCTAGAGCTATCGGGGAGAGGATGGCCCTGCTGACACCTTGGTTTTAGACTTCCAGCTTCCAGAACTGCGAGAGAATACATTTCAGTTGTTTTCATAAGAATTTTCTACTGTTCACAGCTTTCAGAATAACCTCACTCACTCTGGGTCCCTGGGGGCTCTGTCCTTGGTCCTCTTCTTTCCTGTTCACTGGGCCCTCCCATTGTATCTATCATCTTGAATATCAACTTAACAGATGCTTCCTGTAGAAGCAGGATATTATGTGCCCTGTATTCCATTTGGTAAAATTCTACATCCATACCTATCATTTTGTAAGGCTGGACTCTCCTCAGGAAATTTTCTTCACGACTGTTAGCAAATGCAATTCCTCAGAAGATCCTCCTACTGAGAAGCTGCTAATGCAAAGAATTCTGGGCCCATAAGTATGAGGAAAATGCTGCCAATGCAGATATTGGGGAAGGTTAATTCGGCATAACAGGGCCATTTAGAAGAAACTTTATCTTCAAGGTTGGAGACTGAAATACACACATGAAAAAAAATCCTCTTCTGTATCTAGTAACCATAAAAAATAGTAGGGACCAAACTAAGCTTATTGTCTTCCTTCCCAAACCAGCTCTTTTAGGCTTTCTATTCTCAAAAATGGTCTTGCATTGTCCTGATCAGCTAGTATTAGACAGAGGTGAGCGAGGGTGGGGCATGCATATCTTCAAGGTTGGAGACTGAAATACACACATGAAAAAAACAAA